CAGATATAAAGCACATTCTCTACAATTTAAAGTCAACCATGTCACTTAAGCTATAAAATGTCTGGAAAGGGATTTAGGCAGATTCTTTAACTTCTGTGGATTCTCCATTTTCTGTTTTTTGCTTTTTAGTTTCCGTTTTTGTTTCAGATTCCTCCTCATCCTCTACTGGGCGCTTTACAGGATGGTCATCTTTTTCAGTCTTTTCTGCTTTACCTTTCTCCTCCTCCTCCTCTTCTTCTTCATCTTCACCCTCTACTTCATCCTCCTCTTCAGGGTCTTCTGTGTTTTCCTCACTGTGGTCTGCACCATTTCCCTCTGTTCCATTAGATGGAGCATCTCCTTTTCCATTCTCAGCCTTCTCTGCTTTCTCTACTTTCTCTTCTACAACTTCTTTCTTTTCCTTAAGATCCTTGGCAACGGGGACCTCAGTGCTGGTGGTGTCAACGACATCTGCCATCTTCGTGAGAGAAAGAGAGGGTTCCTAGAGCTGGAGAATTGAATAAAGGGGCTTCCCGTCTGAAGGGGAGAGAGAATAATACACAGGAGGATGGAGGAGGCAGACAGACGGTGTTCGGCGATCAGCACTGCTTTATACTTGTTGCTGGCTATCTTTCCCCTGGCTTCCAGCAGTTCCTTTAGTGTCTGCCTTTTTAATGCAGTGTAATCCGTCCCCATTCACTTTTCTCTTTCGGTTGTCTGCTGCATACGAATTGCCATTCCCTTTTCTGGTTCGGTAGTTTTTCTAATGGCGCTTTTCGGCTGTAAGGTTGGATCTCGTCGATTTCCACCAATTGTAGCGGAGCGGCAATATTAAATCCCATGAACTCCACTGGTAAAGAAGGTAATCCACAGTCAAGCGCTGAAAAGTAGGGCAATATCCCAAATCCCCCAGTAACCGGGCGAAACACAGTTCTGGGAGTCAACTGAGGTTTTTATTCACAGCATCCAGTATTTATGCAAGTCCCCATGCAAGGGGTTTCCCTACTGACATAGCAGGGGTAACACAGTAGGGGACTACATGTGGGACTTAACATTCAGACCTTTTCTCCCATCAGGCACTGCTGGACGAGAGGGATACTCCCACTAGAATATACCATTAAGTGGATTAGCCCTCCGTGCAGCAGAACCGACAATTCACATTAAAATCTATAACTTTTACAATACTTGGTAGATTTAAACGAATGGACGTTCGGCAGATAGCTGAGGTCTGAGCGCACCTTTCGTAAGAATACCGCTCAGATCCCAGCTAAAACAACCGCACAAAATACACTTTGCCCATGAGTTCACCTGAAACTACCGAACACCGATGGGAAACCGTAATAGGGGAATACCGGAGCTCCCGAACAGCCTGGAAGTCCAGCGGGGTTCGCTCCGTTGAGTAGCCGATTTCGGCTCCACGCGCTCGACGACCAAACCCCGCTGGTAAGACAAAGGATCCAAGACGGACTACCACGCGTGGTCGGTAGACGAACGACAGCCACCTAGGAATGCCTTTAATTACCGATTGCAACACGTCCCTCTGTGTGTGGGCATTTAGGGCATATCTCATTCGGTTTTCAGCTTTCGGCTGCTAGCATACGAATGCAATATACACATACAGTAATACACATGTTACAGCCAAGTTACACCAGACAGTACAAGGATTATTATAGGCAACCTTTTCTGTGCATAGTCCAGAATATTATAAGTGTCTAGGTTTGCCACACTGTATTCCAATCTGTTTTTTTTTTTTTTTTTTAAAAGGTCTTTGTGTTCAAGGTGCCTCTTTCCACATATAAGGTTAAATCTAGAGAATCTATGGTTTCTTGATGGATAGTGGAGATGAATTTTAAATTATAATCATTCAGATTAATAGTTCCAATGAAAGTATTGGAACTATTATAAGAACAAATTAGAAGAACATCATCTATATAGCGTCGCCAGAAGACGAGACTCCCTCCGAGACAGGGTCCCAACCAGATACATGAAGGTTTCCAGCGGGATTCATAGTTGGCAAAATTCGGGGCGACTCTTGTCCCCATGGCGACACCACACAGCTGAAGGAAAAAAGAAGAATCAAACCAAAAGAAATTTCTGGTCAAAACAAACACTGTAAAACTACTTTTTTTTTTTTATTCTTTTTTTTTTACAAGCATGAGAGTAACAGGCAATCTAGCTATGCCACAACAGCAAAAGTAAGACAAGTGTTGACATTAAGCTTAACAGTGTAGGCATATATGCAGAACTGCGCACATTTTTTTTTTTTTTTTTTTAAATTAAGAGTGGTGCACGGTTAAAACATAGATACAGTATAATAAAGATAACATCAAGATCATATAGTTTGTACCAAATAGACAGTTATCACTGGGTTAATACACTGTGATCAAAAACACAGTGCACGCTTAGCTAGAATCAATCCAGCAAAAAGTGCAGAGAAGAAGGGTTACAGGGGTACAAAAAGGCCTAACCCTTCACTTTTAAACATACAGAAAATACAGAAATGAGGGGGAAATACCCCTTCAAAAGAAGGGGGAAGATTAATTTATATTTTGTAATGATTGCACATTCTACTTTAACATGCACTATGCGCAAAGTTGTTATGTAATGTGAGATGTCACTAAATTATACAGGGAAAGCTAGTTCCGATTTAGCTCCCCCCTTTCTGTTATACAGAACTATGTGATACGCATGCGCATCATTTTAGATTATAAGCATGCGCATCCACCGGCAGAGCATTACTGTCGGAGCAAAATTATGCTATACGCATGCGTGACACGCATGTGCCTCGTTTGGTAGGGCGCCGGTGTTTGAGACCTCCCGCCGGGTGACTTATCTTGTACAAGTTGGAACACTTCTTTCTATGCTCCTCTATGTTCAGTTATTGCAGTCTGGTGTATTTTAACATTTGGATTTTGGATTTTTTTTCAATAAAACTTTATTATTTTTACTCTGTTTGATACACATATATTAGCAAACTTATCTATATTGCCTTAGTAGGGGTACTAGCTTTGAGGGGTTTCGTCTTCCCCCTTCTTTTGAAGGGGTATTTCCCCCTCATTTCTGTATTTTCTGTAATATACTGTGATGTAGGCATAAAAGTTATAGCGTAAGAACTGAGTAATACCACAGCATCTATTGTACGACAAGCGGTGTGGGATTTTATATCTGCTGTCTCTTGTAGAGATCTTGCTATTTAGGGCTGCAATTGCTGCAGTGATTATATGTATGGCCTGGAGAGTGTTGCTTTAGAATTGAAATCAATTAAAGGCTCAGACAACAGGTCAAAATATCACACAAGAAAAAAAGACAGTAGTGTCACATGAATTCAGCTGGGTGGCAGCAGAGCTATATGCCCGGTGTGAAGGCTCTCTGTCAGTCAGTGTAAGGGTTTACACCTCCACTGTCTTGTTCTGTCAGGGGGTGAGTCGGGCTAGGCTAGGAGGTGTGGGGAGGGCCCCTGCCTATCAGTTTGGGTGTGGGTGGAGTCTTGTCCATAGCATTGCTGCGCATTGGGCCTAACGTACAGTACAGCTTGTTAACATGAAGTGCAAATCAAAAGAAAGTGAAAACATAGAAATAGAAACATAAAAATAGAAACAACTTCAAGCCACATTTGTTTGCTCAAGAAATCAGGGCATTCTTAGTGAGCCCAAGAGTCTCGGGTGCTCAGGTGTTACTGGAATTCTCCTGAAAATAAAAGTGTAAAGGTTGAGTCCAAAGTAAACCTACGGAACTTCGAACCACAGTTGATGTATGTCTTTAGGCCAGTTAGGGAGATAGTGGGGTTGTAATTCCCAAATGTCAGGATGTGGTTGCCACGTAAACCTCTGTTTTTCTTCCTTGTGGCACAAACGGTGTAATCCTCTCTGGGTCCCAGAGGTGGGCCATGGTGGAGTTTTCTGGATGCCTTGAAGGAGTTAGGGAGTCCTCTAGCAGGGCGAGTGTTAATAGGAGCGCCTCCGCTCCCTGCAGATCTGTTACTTTGTAGGTCAAGTTGGACTTGCAGAGCCCTTGGTGGGTGGCTGGATGCCGTATGTATTCTATGCCGCTCTTCCTCAAAAGCGCCGTGAATGGTTTGAGGGACCACCTCCATTTTAGGGGGTCCCCGGAATGGTCAGCATTGAAGGTTAGGGCTGTATTTTCAAAAGCATATGGTGTTTTTCCTTTGAGGGTTGCGAGGATCGCCGCCTTATCAGTGCCAGTGCGGAATTTCACCACAATATCTCTTGAGGCTGAGGCTGGAGCTCTTCGCCGTTTGGGGACCAGGATATCATCGGGGATGCCTCTTATTTTCATGTTGTTGCGGCGTCTGAGGTCTTCAAGAGCTGCTGGTCTGTGGTCTCTTGGTGTGTTTTTAGCACTTGCACTTCTGTTTAGAGTTCCTTTATGACTTGTGCCTGCTTGTCTGAAGAGGCCTCCAATATCCCAATGCAGCCCACCAGGCCTGTCAAGTCCGTGCGGAGCTGGACTACATTGGCCTGCAGTACTCTCTGTAAGTCACCTACCATGGATCACAGTGTCTCTGTGGTGACTGGGTCGGGAGGCCCCTTTTTCGGGGTTGACTGAGTTAATGGAGCAAACATACCGCCAGTGCAGTCATCCAGGTTCAGGTCGTCCAAGGAGTCTGTGTATTCAGCCAGGCTGGCGGCCATTTTGGGCCCATGTGCCCCTTGCGCCTGCCGGAATAAGTTGCCGGTATGGGCCCCATTTTGGGATTATCCGTTCTTTGTTTTTTGTTTTTTCTCCCCATATCCCCTGTGGGTCCATGGAGTACCTTTGCAGCACTTTGTTTAGTTGGAAAACAGGTTTATAAGCAGTATGTACAGAGAGCCCATCTGTGTGCGTCCGTCTCGTTTTCTTGCTAGGCTCCGCCCCTTTGTAACATGACTTTTTAATGCCTATTTCAAAACAATTTATGAATATTTTTTAATCTAGACCAATCTTTTACTTTGAACATTTGAAGTTGATCACTTCCACTGCAACACTCTTATCTATTATTCTACTTACCTCTTCATAGAATGCAATTAAAGGGACTCGGCAGCGCCAGAAAAACATATCCGTTTTCCTGACACTACAGAATCCTGCAGTGCCCCTCTCCCTCCCACCACCAATCCCATGTTGCTGAAGTGGTTAAAACCCATTCAGTGACTTACCTGAATCCAGTGCTAATGTCCCTCAGCGCTGAGTTAGGCTCAACCCACGCTACTCCAACAGGGCAGACCTAATGCACATGCGTGGCAATGGCCGTGCGCTCGCATTAGACCTATCCATAGTAAATGTTTATTGAATGCTTTCCTATGGGGATTCCGGCAGCGCTGGAGGTCTTCATGCATAGCGTGAGGACGTCCAGCGTAGTTTAAAACACTTTTCGTGTTCTAAGAACACGGAATTCCCTCTAGTGTCTGATAGACAGCCACTAGAGGAGGACTTAACCCTGCAAGGTAATTATTGCAGTTTATAAAAACTACAATAATTACACTTGCAGGGTTAAGGGTGGGGGGGAGCTGGCATCCAGAACACTCCAATGGGCAGAAGTGGTCTGGGTGCTTGGAGTGCCCCTTTGAGTTAAACATGACCTATGCTTCATAAAAC